TTTTCAACACTGGAATACGGTGCGTAGGATGTGCCTAGAGGAATTGGTGCACTGTAAGGGAAAAGAAGAAAAGGAAAAATTATGGTGCGAAAAGAATGATGTGGCAACTCTATGGTGCCACACAAGCATCTGATCTTGTAAGAATAATCATCGCGAAACATTTGCCTGTGTAAACACGATACCTGCGTGCATTTACGAAGAATTTACGAGGAGAATCCTGAGGACGAGGAGTGTACTGAACGCTTTGCTTTTTATATATGTATGTATAATATATATATATGTGTGTGTGTGTGTGTATGTGTGTGTGTGTGTGTGTGTGTGTGTGTGTGTGTGTGTGTGTGTGTGTGTGTGTGTGTGTGTGTGTGTGTGTGTGTGTGTGTGTGTGTGTACGTACGTTTATGAAAATATAAAACACTCTCTGCAGATATAAACTTATACCTGCATATTTGTTTACATCTATGCATGTGCGTGTTATTTGTAACATGTGTTGCTTTTCATGCTCTTGTCATTGTAAAAATGGCCCTGCCAACAGAGGGAAGACAGGTGATCATTTGAACTCCGTTGCTTACATACTTTTGTACATAAAATATCTGCAATGATTCTACACACAGATACGTGCATAGCGTGGTTAGATTTATCGTTCTTGGCACTATATCTTTGGACGGTGACAGAACGTGAGTTATAATATAAAAAAATGTGTACGTACACGTGTGCTTATACAAATTCACACGTACAAGCACAGGCCCATATTGTCATATAATGAAACATATATGCATACGCACACACACACACACACACACACACACACATAAACAAACACACACCCACACACACAGACACACATTCACAAAACCACACACACCCATACGCACTCGAGCATACTACCATACAATAATCAAATACAATAAAAATAAAAATAACTACACTCATACACTACACAGTCCGTAAAAAACAACAATCATACGATCTTACAACGTAACCATTATTTCCGATGAATGATGAATTAAGCAAGTGTCACTGATAATAAAAAAAGAAAGGAGACTTCACTTCGGAAAAGGATAAGGAAGTAAAAGAGAAACTAGGAGAAGAAGAGGAAGAGACTGAAGGAATAGATAACGGAAGAAGAGGAAGAGGAGGGGGAATAAGAGGAGGAGGAAAGAGAGAGAAGACAAGGATGAAAGGGAGTAGGACGAGAAGTAGGAGGAGGGGGAGGAGGGAGTAAGAGAAGGAGGGGAAAAGGAAGAGAGGAAGGAAAAAGAGAAGGAGGAGGAGGAGGAGGAAGGAAGAGGAGAAGAAGAAGAAAATAAAGGGAGAAAGAAAAATAAGAACCAAAAGAAGTAGGGGAGAAGGGAGAGGAGGAGGAGCAGGAAGCAAAAGAAGATGGAAAGGAGAGAGCAAAAACAAAAAAAGGCGTTCAGGAGATGATAGAAAAAAAGAGGGGATGAGGGAGAAGGAGAAGAATAAGAAAGATGAAAAGAAGAATAGAGAAGTGAGGGAGAAGGGGAGATGGATTTAAATAAAGAGAAAAAGAAGCAACAGAAAAAAGAAGACAGGACACCAAGAAAGAACAAACCAGATAAAAAAACAAAGAAAAACAACAACAACAACAACAAAACAACAGAAGCACAAATAAATGGACAAAAACAGAATAACAAACAACAAACAACAAACAACAACAACAACAAAAAAACACACCAAACATACACAACAGTCCCCACCATCTCCAAAAGCACAAGTCTGCCCCGGGTCATCCGAAGAGCTCGAACCAGCGAGCGAGCAAGCGAGCATCTTCGAGACGGTCGCGTGACGTGTTCTGAGAAGTGGGACGTCTTGAGGTCTCAACCCAGAGACGTTCCCCAGATGGAGCTGTCGTTTCACACAAAAAAAACGTAAAGAAAAAGAAGGAAAATAAAGGGAAAAGAAGAAAAAAAAAAAATCTTTTGAGACAGCAGCGGGCGAGGAATCAAGATGACTGCCAAGACAAAGACACAGATGGATAAACACGGCAAAAAGCAACAACAAAAACAACAACAACAACAACTGCGAGATATGTTCGACGTCGGGACTCGTTTTCGTATATATGGCGATGAGGATATGAAGAGAGAGACATAGAGAATGAATGAATAAATGAATAAATGTCTGTCTGTCTACTTTATCTATCTCTGTCCGCTCAGCTATGTCTATTTATATATTTATCTATCTAATTATCTGGCTATCTATCTTTCCATCGATCTACATCTTTATTCGTATATCTATATACACAAACACACACACACACACACACACAAACAAACAAACACACACACACACACACACACACACACACACACACACACACACACATACACACACAAACACACACGCGCACACAAACACACACGCACACACACACACACAAACACACACACAAACACACACACACACATCTACGCCCTCATCTTCATGCGTATGTGCGTTCTCCTATGAATATTTTCGTGTCACTCATATTCCCTCGATCATCATGTGTTCAGTGATTCGTCATTCATTCAACGCCCCTGTCTCCTTCCCTCATTCATCATTCATGACTCATATTTCTGCGTTCTCTCACCCTTACTCATCACTAACACTGACCTTCTTGGCGCTTCCCTTTTACATTATGAGCCTAATGTGGTACCTTTGCCTCGCCTAATGTATTCTTCCTCTTGGCCAATAATCGCCATATATATATATATATATATATATATATATATATATATATATATATATATATATATATATATATATATATATATATATATATACATATATGTGTATATATATATATATATATATATATATATATATATATATATATATATATATATATATATATATATACATATATATGTGTGTGTGTGTGTGTGTGTGTGTGTGTGTGTGTGTGTGTGTGTGTGTGTGTGTGTGTGTGTGTGTGTGTGTGTGTGTGTGTGTGTGTGAGAGAGTGTGTGTGTGTATGTGTGTGTGTCATTTTTACTAGTATCATTGTCATTACTGCTATTATTATCATATATACATTTTTTTGTCGCTGTACGTTCGTTAATGTGTATGGTAATCCTTCATACACTCTTTCCATACTGTAAATCCCTTTACGTTTTCAAAGGCACCATATACTCTTTCTTTTCATAATTCTCTGTATTTTCTTTAGTTTTTAAGTAATACTATAGTGGACTTTGATACCTGATTATCCCTATTTTATGTACTCTCCTTTTCTTGTTTTCTCCATTTCCCTTTCCTTCTGTTTTTCCTTTCAATCCTTCTGTCTTCTCCATTATTCCTTCCTTTGTTTTTACTTCCCCTTCCTCTCTCGTTCTCCCGCCTTTTAGTCTTTATCCATTTTCTTCCTTTTTTATCTTTTATCTCCTCATTCCTTCCTCCTTATTCCCCTTCTCTATCCTGCTGTTATCTTCGCTCCGTTCCTCCATTTCCCCTCTTCTTCTTTCTTCTCCATTCTTCCTAATTCTTTCTTCCTTCCCGCTTCTCTCCTTCACTTCCTGTTCTCCTTTCCCCCACCTTTTATCTCTCCCTTTATTTCCTCCTTTCGTCCTCTTCTTTCAGACTCTTCTTTATCCCCCTTTCTCCATTTCTTTAGCTATCCCCCCCACCTTTTTCCACCTCCCTTCAGCCACGTCGTTTCTCCCTTCACTTCAATCCCTCCCCCCCCATCATCTCCTCCTCCCCTTCTTCCCTTCCTTTCCCCCCTCTTCCTTCACGCTCTCTATTTCCCTCTCTTTCCTTCTCCCTTTTCCCCCTCCCATCCATCCTTCCTTCCCTCTCCCTTCTTCCCTTCATTTCCCCTTCCTTTCCCTTATTTTTTCCCCTCTCTCTTTTGTTCCCCTTCGATCTCTTCCCTTTACTCGTTCTGTTTTTCCCTCTTCCCCCCCATTCTTCGCCTTTCTTCATCCCTTCCTTCCCCTTCCCTTTTCTCCCCTCATCATCTTCGTTTCTCCCCTCCCTTCACCTTCCCTTTTTCCCCACCCATCAGCACCTCCCTCTTTCCCCCTCCCTTTCCCCCCTCACCGTCTCCGTTTCCCCGCCTTCCCCCTCCCCTCAACCCATCACCCCCTCCCTCCTCCTTTTCCCCCCCTCACCATCTCCGTTTCCCCTCCTTCCCCCTCCCTCTCCTCCCCTCACCATCTTTGTTTCCCCTCCTTCCCCCCTCCCTTTCCCCCCACCCATCACCCCCTCCCTCCTTCCTCTTCCCTTTTCCCCCCTCACCATCCCCGTTTCCCCCCTTCACCCAGCACACCCTCCCTTCCCCCCCCCCACCCATCATCCCCTCCCTCCTTTCCCCTTCCATTTTTTCCCCTCACCATCTCCGTTCCTCCTCCTCCCCTCACTATCCTTGTTTCCCCTCCTCCCCCCCTTCCTTCTCCTCCCCTCACCATCTCCGTTTCCCCTCCTCCCCCCTTCCTTCTCCTCCCCTCACTATCTTTGTTTCCCCTCTCCCTCCCTCCCTTTCCCCTCCCCCACCCATCATCCCCTCCCTCCTCCTTCCCCCTCCCTTTACCCTCCTCACCATCTTTGTTTCCCCTCCTCCCCCCCTCCCTCCCCCTCCCTCCCTTTCCCCTCCCCCACCCATCACCCCCTCCCTCCTCCCCCACCCATCACCCCCTCCCTCCTCCCCCACCCATCACCCCCTCCCTCCTCCCCCCACCCATCATCCCTCCTTCCCCCCTTCCCCCCTTCCCCCTCGTCATCCACATTGACCACACGAGCGTTAAGGGAACGAGCGTGCCAAAAATAATGCCCGAATCTTTCCCTCGCGTTGGATTCACGACGGAGAAATTGAAGCGACGGACGTACGTGTGTGCGCGTGCGTTCCTCCTCCTTCCCTCTGGCGGGGATCCAAGAGTAAAAAGGGGGAGGGGAGGGGAGGGGAGAGGGGAGGGGAGGGGTGAGGAGAGAGAGAGAGAGTGTGGGGGGGTGGGGGTGGGTAAGGGGTGGGAGTTCGGGGCGGGGGTAGGGGTAGGGAAGGGAAAGGGAGAGGGATTGGGGGATGAGAAGGAAGGGGAGGAAGGAGGGGGAAGGGAGGG